TGACGTCAGGACCACGAGGCTGACACCCTGGGCTGACTGCATCATGTTGTGTGTGTTACTTGACGTCAGGACCACAAGGCTGACACCCTGGGCTGACTGCATCATGTTGTGTGAGTTACTTGACGTCAGACCACGAGGTTGACACCCTGGGCTGACTGCATCATGTTGTGTGTGTTACTTGACGTCAGGACCACGAGGCTGACACCCTGGGCTGACTGCATCATGTTGTGTGAGTTACTTGACGTCAGGACCACGAGGTTGACACCCTGGGCTGACTGCATCATGTTGTGTGTGTTACTGACGTCAGGACCACGAGGCTGACACCCTCGTCTGACTGCATCATGTTGTGTATGATACGTGACATCAGGACCACGAAGTTGACACCCTGGGCTGACTGCATCATGTTGTGTGTGTTACTTGACGTCAGGACCACGAGGCTGACACCCTGGGCTGACTGCATCATGTTGTGTGTGTTACTTGACGTCAGGACCACAAGGCTGACACCCTGGGCTGACTGCATCATGTTGTGTGTGTTACTTGACGTCAGGACCACAAGACTGACACCCTGGGCTGACTGCATCATGTTGTGTGTGTTACTTGACGTCAGGACCACAAGGCTGACACCCTGGGCTGACTGCATCATGTTGTGTGTGTTACTTGACGTCAGGACCACAAGGCTTACACCCTGGGCTGACTGCATCATGTTGTGTGTGTTACTTGACGTCAGGACCACAAGGCTGACACTTTGGGCTGACAGTATCATCCTGTGTATATTTGTATATTCGTTTTATTTATTAACTTATATTCCTTTGTTTCCTTCGTTTCTCATTTATTGGTTGACATTTTTACCTCCTTCCTTCCTTCCTTCCTTCCTTCCTTCCTTCCTTCAACGCGTCCGCTTATCAGGTGTCAGACGGAGGCTCGTTCTCTCACTGTCAGCACCTACACCTGTCAGCCCACGATGGGTCTGAGGTCACTTGTTTGGGCTGATAGATAGATAGATAGATAGATAGATAGATAGACTATTAGGTACAATAAAAGATAAGACAGACCAGTAGACGGATGGATAGACAGAGAAAATAGACAGACAGATGGATAGATGAATAGACAAACATACAGACAGTTGGATGGATAGACAGGCAGAGAGACACACATGTAGGTGGACAGAGAGACAGATAGATGGATAGAACAGACAGACAGACGGATAGATAAACGGATAGACAGGTAATTGGACAGACAGACAGGTAAATGGACAGACAGACTGCATATCATTTCCTCATCTCTAAGGTCAAGGATCAAGAGAGAATATAATGATTTGTTTTCAGGACAAAGTGTTATGTGTGTAGTTGGTGTTTGTGGTTGAGAGTACACCTTGTTTTGGGTTGCTGGAGTACTTGTTGTGGTTGTTGTGGTGGAAAGTTTGTGGTTGTTGTGGTGAATTGTGGTGTTTTTTTTTTTGGTGGTACGGTTGTGGTGGTAGTGATGGTGTGGTGTGGTGGTGTTTTGTGGTGTGTGTTTTGTGGTGTGATTGTGGTGGTAGTGATGGTGTGGGTGTGGTGGTGTGTTTGTGGTGTGGTTGTGGTGGTAGTGATGGTGTGGGTGTGGTGGTGTGGTGATGGGTGGGTGTGGTGGTGTGGTTGTGGTGTGGTTGTGGTGGTAGTGATGGTGTGGGTGTGGTGGTGTGTTTGTGTGGTAGTGATGGTGTGGTTGTGGTGGTAGTGATGGTGTGGGTGTGGTGGTGTGGTTGTGGTGTGGTTGTAGACGTCACCTCACGCTATCATTCTACCAGTTGCTGTTTATAACAACGACACCAACGACACTATTCTTGTTGTGGTCGTGAAGGCTCCATAAATGACTCATCTCTTGGGTGGTCTGTTGATTAATTAAAAAAGGTGAGGAGGGAAGTAAAATACACAGGTAAGACAGGTGAGTTTTTATTAACACCTAAGGCAGTTTGTCATGCGATAGTCGGGCTAACATTAGCTGTCTTCAGTAGGAAACGCTCGAAGCTGAGGAGGTCAGCGTCGTCTGCACACGAGTAGAAAATGTTAGTAATCTGTGGAATTACAACAGGTAACGGAGGGAGGGGGGTGCCAGTGCCAATCACGAGAAAATGCGTGCCAAATCAGCGGGGGAATGACGGCATTCAAGTGGAGTTGGGGGACTCAACCACTGTTATCCTCTTTTCCTCATTTCCCTCTTACCTGCCCCAGGTGAGCCAGACAGGTCATGTGTCAACACGCGACCTGCCCATCACCACCGAGCTCACCTCTGTAATGTAATGTTTTTGCTCGCGGCTCATCTTGTGCACCAACGTTCACATATATTTATTCTGGTTGTGTTTGTGACAAATAACATCAAGTGACCCACCAGTGTCAACTTAAAGGCACGCGTTGTCAGGTCTTTGGCACTCACATAAATAATGACATAAAACTGTGATACAAAAAACAGCTGTGAGTCTGGAGGCGTAGAGCGTCGCCTGGCGTGACTGTGGTTCCCAGAGGCTCCTACCATCAACATTTCTTCCCAGCTGAGCGACGTAAAAACTCATCTACCTGTTCACATAAGTTAAGACACAAAGATGGTCAAATGGCGTAAAGCTGCACTGTGACTCTACTGTTTCTCTCATCTCACCTCCAAGGAAATCTGACGTTACTGTAGGAGTCTCTGAGAACCGTCTGACCACCGGCTCTTCAACATGAACCAAGGCGGCAGTGTCTCCACCTGCCAGGGACGTTTATCATTGGGTTTTAAGTAGAGGATATGACCTGAGTTCCCAGCCAATGGGATGATCCAGCCACCATCACTGTACACTACAACACACGTTACGGTCACCACCTCGAGTATTACCTTGAACCTCGAGTATTACCTTGAACCTCGAGTATTACCTTGAACCTCGAGTATTACCTTGAACCTCGAATATTACCCTGACCCTTGAGTACCCTAACCCTCGAGTGTTACCTTGAAACTTGAGTACTACCTTGAACCTCGGTACTACTACCCTGACCCTCGAGTACTATTACTCTGGACCTCGAGTAGTACTCGCAACCTCGAGTATTATCCTGGACCTCGAGTAATTCTACCCAGGACCTTGAGTACCAGCCTTGAGCTCGAGTTCTTCTACCCTGAACTTCGAGTACTACCCTGGACCTCAAGTATTACCCTGGACCTCAAGTATTATTGTTGGGTCGGGGTTCCTACCAGCCTTGGTCCTGCTGCTTCGTATATGACTAGAATTTTAAGTATAAGACCAATATTGCCTCGGTGTTTCGGACCATTACCTCTTGAGTATTGGAGCTACCTGTATTTTGGACCAGTGTCAGTTGAGTACTTAAATTTTGGACCAGTGTCAGTTGAGTACTTAAATTTTGGACCAGTGTCAGTTGAGTACTTAAATTTTGGACCAGTGTCAGTTGAGTACTTAAGTTTTGGACCAGTGTCAGTTGAGTACTTAAATTTTGGACCAGTGTCAGTTGAGTACTTAAGTTTTGGACCAGTGTCAGTTGAGTACTTAAATTTTGGACCAGTGTCAGTTGAGTACTTAAATTTTGGACCAGTGTCTGTTGAGTACTTAAGTTTTGGACCAGTGTCTGTTGAGTACTTAAGTTTTGGACCAGTGTCAGTTGAGTACTTAAATTTTGGACCAGTGTCAGTTGAGTACCTATAATGTGTACTAATCACTTAATGTTTTGTATCCATGTCTCTGTTTACCTCTCAATTAACACTCCTCTCTCACTCACCTGCTATTTAACACAGGTAGGTTAATAGTCACAGGTAGGTGGTGACTAAGATGGGTGCCGTAAAGTGCCAAGATGAGAGGAGAGGTGTGCCTAGCTGCTCAAGGTCCTATGTTTTTGTTTATACATATGTAAAGTCACAGTTTCTTACAATGAACAATATCTTTCATTTCTTCCTTCTTTAGTTTGACTTTGTTCTCTCCTTTGTTTTTATTATTGATTCTGTTGTTATTCCGAAAATTATTACTGATTATTGCTATTATTTTCCTATTATCGTGTTATTTGTCTCTGGTGTTTGTTATGGGGATAAAAATTGTCGTTTATTGTATGGTGTTTGAAGACAAGCTGGAACCAAATCAGGTGTGAGTGTTTCCAGCAGGTGTAGGTGCTGGAACTAACACCACTCCAGCCGGTGTAGGTGCTGGAACTAACACCACTCCAGCAGGTGTAGGTGCTGGAACTAACACCACTCCAGCCGGTGTAGGTGCTGGAACTAACACCACTCCAGCAGGTGTAGGTGCTGGAACTAACACCACTGCAGCAGGTGTAGGTGCTGGAACTAACACCACTCCAGCAGGTGTAGGTGCTGGAACTAACACCACTCCAGCAGGTGTAGGTGCTGGAACTAACACCACTCCAGCAAGTGTAGGTGCTGGAACTAACACCACTCCAGCAGGTGTAGGTGCTGGAACTAACACCACTCCAGCAGGTGTAGGTGCTGGAACTAACACCACTCCAGCAGGTGTAGGTGCTGGAACTAACACCACTCCAGCGGGTGTAGGTGCTGGAACTAACACCACTCCAGCAGGTGTAGGTGCTGAAACTAACACCACTCTAGCAGGTGTAATAATTCACCTTCTTAAAGCCAAGATCAGGTGTGTCTACGCATCGTGTAAGGAACAGGTGTGTGTTTTCTTAATTACTGGTCAGGGGCCCCAATCTTAAATTTAATGGTTCACAATCCTAAAAGACCCCAGTCCTAATGGGCCCCAGTACCAAGTGGCCCCCAATCCTAATGGTTAGGTTTAATTAAAGGGGGGTAGATAAGGACCAATTAAGGCTGTGACCTATTAGTACTGACCTCCCCTGACCTGTAACTTGTTGACATCGCCTGGGATCGTAAGTTTCACCATACAAATGAGTGTTTTTATTTTTATTACAGATAATAAAATAGCTAAACTATGCTATGCTATACTACATCGCTTTTAGAGATTCCGGACACGTATTAGCACTGTGTTTGACGTCTATCATAATACTCCTCCGTTATGTACAGTATTTTATTGGTAATTAAAAGTTAGGCAACATAGATTAAAAGTTTCACACTCACGAAATTAATCAATAATAACAGACCTCGTGAACCAAAGTGGTGTCTCAAGGCCGTGTTTATTGTCTTATGTACAGTAATTAATTCCACTAGTTTGCCATTAGTATGTAAATTGTGCATGTGCAGTCTAACTCTCTCTCTCAAGACTAACCCAGACAACATACACGTAAAGGAATTGTTCTTTGTACAGAAATACATTTATGTACAGGATAGATTACTATATTACATTATATAATGATGATATGATTCTTGAATAAAAATCTTAACTATTTACGAGTGTCGTATCTCTGGTCCTCTTACCATGGGTTATTGAGTGACTTGAGGTGAGCAGTTCTCACTTTGGGATAAAAACTCTCTCACTTGAGTATACAACAGAGTGCCTCATGCCTTTACAACCTCTTGGCCATCACACTTTATCACATAGATTCAAGTCCAGTCGTATACAGGAGACTCCCTCTACGTCTCTTCTTTCTGTTTTGGCTGCAACCTGATTGGCTGAAAGGCGCCTGCCGCGGAGAGAAAATGGCGATCTGTGATTGGTCCCATTGGAGACAGTGTGAAAGGCCGCTTTGTCATTGGCTGCATGGATGAGTAACCAAAGACGTGTCGCTCGGGGATTGGTCGGATGGGTGTGACGTAGTGGTCGGAAGGTGACGCTGGTCTCTTGTGAGAGGACACGAGGGAGGCGATGGTGAGCGCCGGAGCCAAGGCCTGAAGAGATGTCGGGATGCTGGGCGTCTCGGACAGCAGCGACTTGGAGGTCTCATGGTCATCCTTGAGGTCGTCCTTGAGGTCTGGAGATTCTCGCTCGTGGTTCTTTATCTGATCCTTCATGGGGGAGGATAGGATAGGAGGTCGAGGAGACCCAGGAGACTTGGAGTCGAGGGCTAGAGGAAGACTACTGGAGGTGGCGTGGACGCCTGAGGGCGAGGTCACCGTGTGAGAGCCAGAGGTTGGGAGTGGAGGTGGAGACCGGGCGTCCAGCGACACGTCGTCCTCGGAGATGTCATCCTCGAAGGTGTTAGGAGAGCCAGGATTGATGAGATCCTCCTCGTCATCGTCCTCGAGTGGAGAGCGAGTGTCGGTGTCCCGTCGAGAGGGAGGTATGCCTGTAGCCCCGAACTGATGCATCCTGTAGGAGGAGAGACGGGGTGTGGTCATTATATTGACGTCACTACCATCAACAATATCCTTAACATCATTCTTAAACAATGACATTATTAACATCCTTAAACATTGACATCATTAACATCAACATTGTTAACATCATCATCATCATCATCAACAACAACAAGAACATTTCAGCAGGGACAAAAATAACAAGAAAGAATAAAGGAAAGGAAAAATGAGCGAGAGAGGACAAAGAAACGGCAAGAAAGAAGCCAGGAATAACTGATGCAGGCGGCAATGATTATATTATCGGAGGTCAGGTGAGAGAGAATAGAAAGAGGATTGATCTATACAGGAAGTGAGAGAATGTCTTTATGTTTTATGTCTTATGCATCATCTTCCTCTTCTCTGTTCTCCTTCTTTATCACTTCGAGGCTCATGGAGTTGGAGGAGATACTCTAAAATGGATTAGGGCGTGGTTACAGGACAGCGAGTAAGCATTAACGGCACTAAATCCGATTGGAGTGACGTCACTAGTGGATTACCCCAAGGGTCAGTACTTGGACCATTACTATTTATTATATACATAAACAACATAGATATCGGCGTAGACAGCAACATAAGTAAATTTGCTGATGACACTGAAATAGGGCATGTAATTAAATCTGACGAGGACACCACAAAACGACAGGAAGATCTAAAGAAATTTTTGCACATGGTCTGAAAATTGGCAGACGAAATTTAATGTGGACAAATGTAAAATACTTAGTCTAGGAGATATCAGATGAACAACGTTGCTATATGAAAATACGACTGTGAGAAAGATTTAGGACTAATGATATGCAGGAATCTTAAACAAAGTAAACACTGTGTATCTGCTCGAAACAAGGCTAACAAAGTACTTAAGTTCATACAAAAGAGTGTTAGTTACAAGACTAGCAAGGTCAACCTAAAACTATATTTTGCGCTTGTGAGACCTCACGTGGATTACGCAGGTCACTTCTGGTCACCTTGAGTACAGAAGGTTAAAGCATCTTAATTTGCACTCCCTCGAGAGACGTAGAGTGAGGGGCGATATGAGCGAGGTATATAAATGAAAGTCAGGGTTAAACAAAGGTGATATAACAAAGGTACTCAAACTAGCCAACCAGGAGCGAACTCGTAGCAATGGTTTTAAATTAGACAAATTTTGATTTAGGCGCGAAATAGGTAAACATTGGTTTGGAAATAGAGTAGTGGATGAGTGGAACAAATTACCAAACATCATCATTAACTGGAATACGCTGGATAGCTTCAAACATAGGTTGGGTGGATATATGAGCGATAGGGGTTGGCTCAGTATGGGGCAATAGACCCGCTGCAGTTTCCTCCATTCTTATGTTCATGTTAGCTGCTGCTTCTTTTTTCATGCATCTCTACGTCTTCCCAGATTCTGTCTGCCTGTCTCTCTCTTCTCTTGTTCTCTTTTATTTTTCAGTCTCTCTTCCTTTTCTCGCCTGTGATCTCTTGCTCGTATTCTTCTCCTCCCTCCCCTGCCCCCCCCCCCATTATCTATCTTCTCCTCTCCCCTCCCCATCACCCCCACGCCCTCCTCCCCATCACGCCCACGTACCCTCCTCCCCATCACCCCACCTCCCCATCACCCCCACCTCCCATCACCCCCACGTACCCTCCTCCTCATCACCCCCACGTATCTCCTCCCATCACCCCATGCCCTCCTCCCCATCACCCCACGCCCTCCCTCCCCCCATCACCCCCACGCCTTCTCCTCCCCATCACCCCACGTGCCCCCCTCCCCCATCACCCCCACCCCTCCCATCACCCCCACGTACCTCCTCCTCCCATCACTCCCATGCCCTCCCCATCACCCCCACCACCCTCCCCATCACCTCCTCCCCCCCACCCTCCTCCCCATCACCCCACGCCCTCCCTCTCCCCATCACCCCATGCCCTCCTCCCCATCACCCCCCCCTCCCCTCCCCATCACCCCCACGCCCTCCCCCCATCACCCACACCCTCCCTCCCATCACCCCCACGTACCCTCCCTCCCCATCACCCCACGTACCCTCCTCCCCATCACCCCACGTCCCCCCACTCCCCATCACCCCCACGCACCTTCTCCTCCCCATCACCCCCACGTCCCTCCCCATCACCCCACACCCCTCCCCATCACCCCCACGTACCCTCCTCCCCATCTCCTCCCCATCACCCCCACGTACCCTCCCTCCCCATCACCACCACGCCCTCCCTCCCCATCACCCCCACATACCACCGTCCCTAAGGTCCTTGAGGCGACGGTGGATAACATCATAAATATTAGAATATGACCTGCCCCCCCCTCACTGTCTCCCCTGTCTGTCACCCTTCCTCCTTTCTCCCCTCCCTTCCTCACCGTCTCTCTTGCCTGTCACCCCCTCCCTCACCTACCTCCCTGCGTGTCACCATTCCCCTTTATCCCCTCTCCCTTCACCGTCTCCACCGTCACCCCCCATGCCTGTCACCCCCCCCTCACCGTCCCTCCCTGCCTGTCCCCCCCCCCCATCACCGGGCCAACATTCACGCCATGTTGACCCAAGACGCCGCCACAAAAAGGCCAAACATAAGCTGACACAGGCGAGGGAAAGCTGAGCAAATATGTTGACCCAAGACGCCGCCACAAAAAGGCCAAACATAAGCTGACACAGGCGAGGGAAAGCTGAGCAAATACGTGTTTCACCGCCTCTAGCGCGATCCTCAATCAACCATCATCATCATCATCATCATCCTCCTCATCATCATCATTATCATCATCATCATCATCATCATCATCATCATCATGTGTCTTCATCATCATCATCATTATCTACGGCACGGCGAGCGACATAGCGAGTGACTTGATGAAGGATCTAGCGAACAAACCTGGCGAGGAGAGGAGACAGTACCGAGTTATTCTCCTCTCTCTCTCTCTCTCTCTCTCTTCTCTCTCTCTCTCTCTCTCTCTCTCTCTCTCTCTCTCTCTCTCTCTCTCTCTCAGCACCCTGACAACGTGCGTTTTAGCGGTCGATGATAATATTTGCCTAAGTAATTCGTGCGTTCTAGCGGACAGGTCAGGTGCTGCCACAAAACCCCTCCCCTTCACCTCTCCTCCCCCTCACCTCTCCTCCCCCTCACCACTCCTTCCCTTCATCCATCCTCCCCCTCGCCCCCTTCCCCCCACCCCCTTCCCGCTAACCCCCTCAGGGGATAATGGATTCCCTGTTGTTGGTGGACGAACGATATGATTATGGATTCTCTCTTGTTACTACACGAACGATAATGGATTCTCTCTCGCTGCTGGACGAACGGTAAGAGAGTGGAGCCTCTGTGTGTGGTGCGCGGGGGAGAAACACTGTGATGCTGGATTATTGGTTGTTTGATACCACAGATGTAAGTATGGATTCTCTCTTGATTTTGGACGAACGATTTGATAATGAAAAAAAATTGAAGGAAGATCCCAGAGTCCGTTTTCCCTTTTTAGAGGCAGTGCGGATACAGTGTACAGTAGACGTGACCTATTCTTTCGGTATTTTACACTGTACTCTACCTCCTTCACTTCCCCATCTGTAAAGTTATACGCCTCTTCACATCTGGGTGTACTAGGCTCGACCCCAGTTAAGGACGGGAGATGAGTGTTGTAACCCACTCGGCCACCGCACCTTTGATGTTGTTCAGTGTTTTGTGATTAGTAATACTGTATAATGATAGATTGATGGTCTTCAAATGGCCTCTTGTTGATTCCTGACTGATGACCTCTGACCCACTGTGACCTCGGACCTCTAACCCATGGTGACCTCTGACCTCTAACCCACGGTGACCTCTGACCCACGCTGACCTCTGACCTCTAACCCATGGTGACCTCTGACCTCTAACCCACGGTGACCTCTGATCTCTAACCCATGGTGACCTCTGACCTCTAACCCATGGTGACTTCTGAACGCTAACCCACAGTGACCTCTGATCCACGGTGACCTCGGACATCTAACCCACGGTGACCTCTGACCTTTGGTGCCTCGGGGAGTAATACTGTACTTATAAATCAGACGTAAAGAGAAAGGTAGATTGATTCGCTTGTGAGTGGAATGGTGTTTATCGAATACATATTAGTTATGTTGTAAATAAATTAGTTAATGATTTGCTGTGTTCTAGTAGATTAATTATGGATTAGTTGTGATGTAGAAAATTAGTTATGAATTAATTGTGTTCGTAGATTAGTTATGGATTAGTTACGGTAGTTAATGGTAAGTATTCATTATACCAGCTTGTGTGAAGGAGTGATAACGCTTTCTATATACAGTAATCTATTTGACAAAAACTGATAGATCTGAGGGGTCGGGGTGAAGGGGGGGGGGTAGAGGGGTACACCGAAGAGCACAACAACCCCCCCCCTCCCCCCACCAGCGGCAAAAATCAAATTTCCTCCCGTAAAACTTGTTTGAGCCTTTCCCAGACACCAGGTGGGATAAACAGGTGCTTCTCCTTCCCTACCACCCATCCACTCACCCATCCACTCACCCATCCACGTCCACACCCCAAACAAACCTTCTCTAGTCTACCTTGACCTAATTTAAACTAATTTAACTCACTCTAACATAACCTAACCTAACCTAAGCTCGAACCTAACTTAACCTAACCTATCCTAACCTAACCTCGAACCAAACCTAACCTAACTTAAATCTTAATCTAACCTGGGTTCATTCGGACCTGACCTAGTCTAGCCATCTTGATTGGATCCTATAAGGTAGTATCTGTAGGTAGTAGACAGCTACCAAACAGGGAGGTCCTACCGCCTGGGAAGATATTGGCAGCATAATGTGTTGTCTAATGGTAGACCCTGCTGCCATATGGCATCACGAAAATTGTGACCAAGTCCCAGGTTGCTGATCTGACTTTCTGCCTCATTTACACACAATTGCAGGGTCTCACTTGTTTCTCTTAATATTGACAACACAACACACATATATTGTTTCTCACTTTTGATCTTTTTTTTCATTTTTGTATTTCTTT